AACCTCATATAAAACTATTATGACAACAACAAAACAAAACCATATGCCAATTAAATTAGTCAAAAGTAAATATTCATCATATCAACAGACTAGGAGATATAACATCCTCCCACCGAGTAGTGTTACTACTCAAACATGAACCTTTTTTGGAACTTTGATTTTTCGTCCAGCTTGTGTTTAATTTCATCTTGAGTATTTTGGTGTTTAAGTCCATCACTATTAACTTCTTTTCCCACGTTTATATCTTTTGAAGAGATTTCAAGCGGATACAATCTTTGTATCGGTCTCAACAATGTCCCATGTGCTATTTGTGAGACGTGCTCCCACCGTGGCGGCTAATAATTCCAATCTTGGATTGTGGTTTTCTTCAGAGGAGCAACTCTTGATTTTGCAGACAATAATTGGACTCTTACTTCATCTTCAATTTCAACTCTCAAGTAAATAACTGTAGCATAGGCATCTTTACTTGCGTCGCAAAATGTATGAATACTACAACCATTTGAATCCATAGTCATTTTACCTATCCATCGGGGTATTTTCACTTTTTCAAGAGCGCTTAACTCATTATACCACAGTATGAATCGTTTACTGATGTCTGAACTTACTTCAGTGTCCCAGTAAATTTTCAAGTCCCACATACTTTGCAGAAGAAGTTTAGTAAACAAAGTAACAAGGGCAAAGGATACCAATTGGATCAAAGATCTTGTGAGATATGGATAAAATGTCTCTCTTTGTGATTCGAGACACGTCCAAATCTTTAATACAGTTCGTCAGGTTAAAAAACAGAACGTCCTCAATATAGTTCCATTGAACTCCCAAAACATTAGTGACGAACTTGGTATCTCCTTCTTCAATGATGCTCGTGGCATGCCATCCTCTTAAATCAAACTTAGTGGCAGCCATAACTTGTTTCGATTCTTCAACAAAGTGTTTTAGTTCCTCATAAGTATCTACACTGGTCGAACCATTGTCCACGTAAAAACTTTTACTCAGCTTCTTTACCACATTATCATCATACTCCTGAGAAGTCATAGATTTTTGAAGATGCAGATCAATTACTGCCCCTAGAAGAAATGGACTACATTTCACTCAAAAAACAACTCTTTTATGGCGGTAAACAATACTTCGGCTTCTTTCATTGATGTCAAACCATAAAAACCAAAGAAAACCTCTATCTTGTACATTTAACGATATTTGTGAGAAGGCTTTTGCTATGTCAGCAATAACTCCAAACTTCCCTTCCCTAAAACGCATCATAACAGAAGGAATCAGTGCAATTAAATTTGGTCCATTTTCAATACAGTCGTTCAATGAGGGTGAAAACTTGGTCTTTGCTGATGCATCAAACACTGGACGAATTCGTGTGGTAATACTACTCTCCTTCACTACAGGTCAATGTGGCAGGTAGTGAAAGTTGTTGTTCAAATCGTCAGAAGGTACAGCTTCAATGATGCCATCACTTAACCACTGTTTAAAAACTGAGTCATAGTCTTCGGTCAAATTGTTATCATCCAATTTATTTACAACTGTTGATAACCTCTTTTCGGCTAACTCTCTGTTACTAGGCAAAGGAGGATGACAATCAACCCAGGGCAAACTTACTTCATATCGACCTTCTTCATTTATAGTGGTAGTTTTTATAAAATTATTTTTAACTGCCAAAGCCTTTTGCTCTTTGGAAACTGATTCACTTGTATCAGTAATTCCTATAGTGTCCAATCTCCACAGTTCCGATATGTCAGCATCATTAATAAACATTGATGTTACAACAGTGAAGAGTGTAGTTGAACCTGTACTACCACTAATTATAGCCTTACCCATCAGTGTCCATCCCAGAAGAGTTTCCATAGGCACTAGTCCAGATTTCGGTTGAATCATATTTCCCGTGAATAGTTTACCCGCTATATCTGCTCCAATCAAAATACCAATTGGTAGCTTGGTCTCATGTATGTCAGTCAGAGAAACATTTTTCTCTATAAGTTCCTGTATCCTGGGACCTTCGGTAACAGGTGAAATTTCCCCACATATAGTAGCTTGACTCAATACCTCAAAGTTGCAGTTGTAACTGTAATCTTGACTGGTTAGAAACACACGATGTCTGTTGTGAATTACTTCACCAGATTTGACATTACCAAAAAGAGAGTGTATGATTGTTTCTTCCCCTAAGCTTTCGTAGTTCATTTTTTCAGCCAAGTCCTTTAAAATGTAAGAACGCTGTGAACCAGAATCAAAAAGAATGCGAACAGTCTCAAATTGATTACAACCTGGGGTTCTTAATCTTGCCTTTACTGTTTGCAGAAACACTTTCACTCTCCTACTTGATTTATTTGCCAAAGCGGTATCTTCCACTACTGTCATTTCTTTAGATACCTCATCAACACATTTGCTTACACACTCATTCACTACTTCTTTGGAATGAATACTAGGACACATTATAGGATAATGTTTCCTTTTACAATTAGAACATGACAAATGAGCTCTACAATCCTTAATACGGTGACCAGGCTGCAAGCAAAGGAAACAGCACCTCTTTTCCTTTAAAGTGGACACCTTATCAGACAATGGCAATTTCTGAGCAGCAAAACAGTTACTACTCTTATGATTCTTATCACAAAAGACACACTTTGTATACGAGTTTTGAGTTTTACCAGAGGACATGAGGCATGAAGCTGTTGGTATGTCTATCTTACCTGGTTGAGTTTGAGATGACCTTTTAAAAGATTTCTCCTTCCCAGAGCTACTTATCCCAAAACCTGCCATGGCTAGACCGATTCTCTGTTCCCCTTCAACTTCAGACAACATTAACTTCATTAAATTATTGAGTCTTTCCTGAGGGTCTGTACCTACTCTCAAAGGGCTTCTTTGCCACGCCCTTGAGAGATCTTCAGGCATACAACTTTCAACTAACGGGTATAACATGGAGGAACATTTATCTGTTGTAACTCCCAAGGTATCTAATGCACGCATATGAGACTCAAGTTTGTCATACAAACTTTGTAAGTTCATTGTGTTCTTGCCTCCTAGAGCATTTTGTAAAACAATTTTCAAGAGTTCCCTGACATAAACCTCTACCAATAGGTCATCTTTACCAAATGTGGCTTTCAAACATTCAATTGCTTTTGGATAGTTTGCACCAGTCGGAGGAAAACTCTGAACTACATCAAAAGCTCTTGATCCGGTAACTATGGATTGCAATAAATATTGAAACTTATCCTCTGAATCAATGTCTGAGTCACTATGAATTTTGCTAAACTGACTCCAAAAAGGTAGTTAATTGATCAAATCTCCATCAAACTTTTTAATCTCTATTTTAGGGAGCTTAAATTTCTTCTTACTAACATTGTTACAGCAAGATCCAGAATGAGCACTAACTACATCGTTACTTTGTTGTAGTAAATTCTGGACTCTTAATTTTACAGTTTCAAACAAAGCTAAATATTTTCCAGCTTTGATTGTTTCAGCTAACAGCTCATCTTCAGAAACATTATCATTATTCAATAACAAATCAAATATCTGAGTATTCAAAACCTGGAGCTCATCAACCTTTATCTCCAAAAGCTTTAGAGTGGTTTGAATTTCAATTTTGTCTGTGGTTTCATTTTCAACTAAACTGTTTAGTTTGTTCAATGTTTTAGAAAAATAAGCCCTAAATACTGTTCTATTTTTCTTTAGATTAGATCATTTCTTTAGATCATAGAGATAGGTGAAAAACAAGTCCTGTCACGGTCGCCAAATGTTGTTTTACACTACACACCTACCTTCTTCAAGTGATGAAAACTATAAAGATAAAATTAGAAAAAAACTAGACTTTTTAATACCACACTTCTATTTTCAAAAACTCATATAAAACTATTATGCAACAACAAAACAAAACCATATGCCAATTAAATTAGTCAAAAGTAAATATTCATCATATCAACAGACTAGGAGATATAACACTCACGTTTGTATAATTAAGCTCCCCCCCCCCCCCAAAAAAAATACATCATATAAAATATTTTGTGGAGAATGCCAATTTTACGACTCAGTGATTATATTTGAAGTTGAGTTATTATTGTAGATAATAATTTTAAAATATATATGCTTGTATTATCAACTACCAGATTGTATCATAAAATATTATAATTTCAAATTCAACCTTTACATATTTAAATCTTAAAAATAAATTAATTAAAAGTATACAGAATTTTTCCTAGCACACTTATAAATTCATTTGACTACTCTGGTAGTTTTATTTATGTAGAGGCAAAGATAGTTTAAAACAGAGATAAAAGGAGCTTGGTTTACCCCAATATGTAAATGCATTCTGCAAATTTGGGATTACACAGCGTCTGAGGGAACAAGACATTACTAGGGAGCAATATAAGTTTACATTGCTTTTATGCCAACGACATAACCTACTGACCTTTCTAAGAGTTCTTTTCAATGTTATACACGTTCCAGTTTGCCCACGTTTCCACGTTTCTTGTGGTTTTATTGTTTCTTATTATTTTGTTTTCTTTGTTTGTGTGTTATATTTACAGTAGTGTTGAAGTTTATAACCTAAAATACCTAAGATTACAACCTTGTAGTATAAAATAAACCTATTACTTCTTGTAATTTAAAAAGCAACATGGTTATTTACAATTAGGTTGTATGTAAATTGCTTGAATAACAGATGTTCATTGATCATAAAGCAAATATTTTGTTGGGATGAAACTAATTGGCTTTTAAGGGGAAGTAGTTAAAACCCAATGATTTTGTATAGATGTACGGGAATCGAAACTGTCTCGCATCGAAATCTGAGACATCCAAACAAACATTGCACTTGTGACAGTTAAACAAAAACCACCACTTATCACCATTTAACAGGATTGTAAACCAACGTGATGTTATTACATACGTAATTTATTACAATAGGGGATAAGAAAATCTGTATTTTACTGTTTAAGGCAGAGTTGAAAAAGTTTATAGTTTACCATAATAAATTCAATAGTAACAAAACACGGCTGGGTTTTCAGGTTGGTCTTGTGGTTCCCCAAAAGTCGTTTGGCCTGAGAGAGTACAACCGCGCCGTGTCTACAGCTGTACAGTTCCTCAACAGAACCGGGTCTCGAACCAGACAACTCAGTGTTTTCCAGCGACATCAGGTGCAGTTCACAATGGTCATGAACTCTCTCACACCTACACCTACAGGTAAACGTCTACTATACACTGTAGTTGGTCTTATTGCTATGATGGTTATAAGACAAAACAGGTTGTTTAGGTAACTACTATTTTCGCTGCATTGTTTAAGGTATTGTCTAATTTTACTATCAATATCGGGCTGCAAGGTTCGTTCGCCATTTAAGTTGTTTATAGTGATTACTGTGGCTCAATAAATCTCGAATGGTTCCATTTATGTCAATGTTCGGTTATTCGTCTGTTTCATAAAATATTTATTCGGCTTATCCAGAGTGTAATTGGCTTCTAAATTAAACTGGCGTAAATAATGTAATCAATATTACCCATTATTATGCAATATTAATTACGAAAATGAGGAATTACGTTATTTTATATAGTAAACACAAATGTTAAAGTCAATTATAATAAGCTCTTGTGACAACATTCTTTTGCATTAGGGTGCTATGAAAGTCTTGAATCCGGATAGTTCTTTTAATAGGTACTTGAAAGTCAAAGTCGCATGATTATTATCGTAAACCGTTACTTTGTTGCAAATATTTTTGCTGGATACTATTGATCAGAAACAAAATCATTCATAAGAACAAATTACTGTAAAATGTGATTAGTATATATGGGTGGAATGTTATATTAGATTATAACTATAATGGCATTTGGATTTTTTTGGCTTCAGATAGTGTACATTCTTAACTAATCATCAGCAAACATTTGACCGATTTGCATGCAAGGCAACCAAAACTTAAGATATTTTTTTTGTGATTTAATAGTCTATTAATTTATGACTAACGTTGTGGGTCGGTTACAAATATTGGGCTTGAATAGTGAATACAATATTTACTAACCAATTGCCTATTTAAAAGAATAACAAAACTGAATTATGATGAAACTGTCGAACTTTTTTATTGCCATATATAACAATAACTTAATGCTTTTAGTAAATATATTTATAAGTTACAATCGCTCCAAGTTCCACGAAACATCCTACATCTTACATAACTGTAACCTAATTCATATGAATTATGTCCATGAACTAAATAATTTGGTATGAGATTGACTATTAAAATATGAAATCATAACTAGATAGTGTATTTACTGTTGCAATAATAAACATCTACTTAATTTAATCATTAATTATTAATGATAATTTGTCCTTTAACCTTTCTCCGGCCGTTCATAAATCCTGGATGATGTAGGACTCGTTCCCTGTTCTATTACATGCGTTGTAGTAGACCATTATTTATAACGTTGTACAATATGTTAAGCAATATGTTTCAGAGTTCATAACAGATTATTTGTGGTAGCCTATCGATCAGCCTGTCCCACACACTGGCTACTTGTGTCAACATTCGGCAACTTTCATCCATCAACAATAAATAGCTTAGGTTTTTTTAACATATAAACATGTGCACCACATCACTGAATTCATCAACATCTCCATTTTTGTATTGTGTTGAAAATATGGACACTTATCCTTATAAACCTTTTTTAAATATGACCATGCATTCATTTATTGATTAAATGTAAATTTTAAATAAACATCTGTTACATTGAAAACACTTTATTCAAAAGAGAATAATTCTACATTTACTTCAATTTCCAATATTAGGATGAAATTCGTGCCTAAGCAAACAAATCATTTTATTGGAAGTATATTTCTGGAATCAAAGGCTTTTACATTATGAATTTGTCTAGAAAGATTGCTTATGGAAAATATTAAAACACAAATGTTTAATTAAGAATAAAGATTCTAGGTTATTGTTTGTACTTGGAAAAATTAGAACGATCTGTGCTCATGCAATCGGTAAGGGATTATTTGTTTGTTTTATTATTCGTTATATATCATACAATTTATTCGTTTAAATGGAATATGCAATCCAATATTATTCGTGTGGTTCTATTTTCATTCACATTCTTAATATAAAACGTAAAAATGTTACTTGTTGTCATAGAAATCGTTCCAAGATACTTAATTGGTTTGCATCATTCAGAGATCCAGAAGTATAATAACAAACAAACAAACAAAAAATTGAAAACAATTTGTGTGGTTTATTTTTTTATCCATATTAACTACTTACATATAAGTTAGTTTAGATTTTTCATGTTTTAATATTATTAATCAGAGGTAGGGAATAGATGTACGACCACAACTGTTAAATGGCTATATTTAAGGAACCCAAGACAATTCTTGGATTCAAAATCAAATTAAATAATCCTCATTGAGTCCATTTTAATTTTCGTAGTTTTAAAAACATGACTTCTAAAGGAATTTATTAGAAATTTTCTCCTTAACTAAAGTTACATCAAAGTTATTATGGAAAGTAAAGTCTAATCAAATGTGATTTTAATCTCTTATTACATCAGATGTAACTTTAATTGGATTATTTAATTGGCCTATGCTTAATTTACAGTTTAAATATAACATTATTTATGTGCGAAATTTTGAACAAAATAACAAAAAAAAAATACCAAAGAAACACATATCTTTAACACTGCCTTCAATTAATAGTCTTTGAAACATAGCATTTTCTTGTTTCTATTTAGTATCTTACCTCCATTACAGTTTAATGCCAATGGAAGGATATTTCAAATTAAATTAAACACGGGAAACTTCATGTCAAATAAATGTCTCTTGTCAACTAACTCTTAAAATTGTAAAACGACGAAAGGAATTAGGCCTACTACTGCCAGATCTGTTTACTGAATGACAGTAAACGAAAATAGACGGATAATGATTTTTAAGTGACTTTTGTTTATGTTATTTCTTAACAGTTAGATGTTTTATATTTGTATATCCTTACAAACATTGTTTGAGTATTTATAGCCTACAAAACTGATGTTTGGAATTTGAACTTGGATAATTATCAATTTTTGTTCTAATTAAGTTTAGATATTAGTACTATAAATGGTTTTAGTTTTTAAGTAAATAAATTAAAACCGTCCAACACAGCAGTTGTTCAATTAGTTGTATGGAATTACGCTATATATGGATTTAGAATAAATAGGAAATTTTCTGCAACCATTGTAGAACAATTGAACTTATTAATACCAATTATAATCAAGAGATAATTCAAATATTAATAAAGCAATACAGTTGTAAATATTTCAAACACATTTTTCATACAATACGTCAACATGTATAAGTTTAGTGTATATTATAAAGGGTAAGGCTTATAATCTGGACTTAAAATTTTGATTTCCCGCTACAAATATCTATGGTGTGTGCATAAAATTTATTTTTAGCAAGGTAAGGTGGTCAGGTACACTAGTTTTATTTGTACTAATAAAATATAGTGGACTGGCATTAGTATAAGAAACAGGAGATTGCTGCTATAGATTCATAAATATGCGAACTAATCCAACTTATGAGATATGTTTACCATATGTATTCGTTTGAATTTAAATATTTTTTTTTTATTTAAATGAGTATCACATGTACTTTATGTAATAAAAGTTGCATGTCATAGAATCTCATATGGACAGGTAACTAAGATTTTTTTTATTACTATTTATTTATAATAAAATTTGCATTTTATATGTTTCCGTTTATTGAACAAGAGTTAGTAATTTATTTTGTGTTATACTTTCTGTAAACAAATTTTAATTTATAAGTTTTTTTCGTCCAAAAAGTAGGTAAAAAAGATTTTGCATAAGTATACACATGTTTTAAACACCTTGTAAACCCTCATTTACAGAGTCACATCAGCTTTAAGCCAGCAAACAAACACTTATTTTGTAATATTTTCATAAATAGGATACGTCTTACATTATAGGCTCCAGGCATGTTAATCAAGATACATTATAAATTATTAGCGTATCTTTCCTGCTATTTACAATAGTGTAATACAAGTAGATAAATAAAAACGAAAATATAGATAAAATAAATAACAGACATGTGTAAGTCAGACAATAAGGTTTAATAAAGTTAAAGGAATTATTCATGTTTAATTATTCAAGCAAATTCATAAAATACTTTTATTTTACAAAAGCTAACTAAACTATTATCTGAGGCATTAGTTATCATCGCTAAACTTACCTTCTACAAATCATCGTTCAATCAGTCTAAGGATAATATAAGTGTATGACATTAACCAACCAACGATTAGTGTGGAGAAGCGAGCTGGTCCAGTGGTAGAGCACGGAACTTCGGTCCCCGTAGTCTAGCAATGTGAAAAATATTCCGTGCTCGTGCCAAGCGTCCTAGAAAAAAACAATTGATTAGAAATGGCATCGGTATTCATTTCATATGTCTTACACAATTTGTTATGTTGTATTATGCATTATGCTTCGTGAGAGTACTTTTTGTGTAATAAAAAATATAGTCAGTCAGCTTACTTATAACTACAATTAAAAACTGTTTTAATTCACAAACCCATAATGGTCTATGTGCACAAGAAACTTAACTCCAATAAAAGGTCAGGTGAACATGTGATAATTCAAGACCAAAGGTAAAATAGCACAATCATCATAACTGGACTTATGCTCAGTTTTACTACCAAGTAAGGTTATAAACCATCATTGGGTGTGACGTTTACAGCTTCCTCTCATACACAGGCACTGAGTACATTTATTTTGAATGAGGTTGTGTTTACTCCTGTTTTAAAGTAGCTCTTTCTCAATGCTTTATCCATAAAAAAATATGAGTGTTTGGAAATAACGTGCATGGTCTTATTGTTATAATTTCATGTTGGCAAGTTATTTGTGAAAAATAATGTTCCAAATACAAATAAATTTTATTCAGCAATCTGACACATATTTTTTTTTTTTATCTGATTAGCTTGTAAACAACCCTTAACATAGGTAAACGGTGGAAGTAACTATGATCCTTCGGGTGAAAGGTTTTTATAACTTTTAAACCATAATTTTCCAGCAATGTAGGTTGTTTGTTTTGTCTAGTCTTAAATGAACTGTAATATACAACATTTTATATCTGCTGAGCCGAGTTTTTGTACATTTGGATTTTCCCGTCATTTTATGGATTAAAAAGCAATATCGGTTGTCCTATTTTGTTTTGAGTT